ACGCCGCCTCTAGACCAGGGCAGTAAAAGCTGCTCCGTGCTCTCTTCTGTTTGTGCCCACAGAGCCGGCACATCACCCCTCTGCCCGTGTCCCTGGGGATTGATTCAGTGGTGCCCTGGGAGCTCAACCTGCCCTGACACACTGTTGGACACATCCGTGCACCGCCTTCCCGTCCAGCCATGCTGCACTTTCTCTGGGACAGCATCTCCTTCCCTACAGTCCTCATCTTCCTCATTGTCTTCCTATTTGTTGCCGATTACATGAAGAACAGAAACCCAAAGAACTTCCCTCCCACCCCTTTACGCCTTCCCTTTATAGGGCATCTTTACTTGATGGACTTCAAAGATCCCATGAGTGGAGTGGAGAAGGTACAAGGGTGGTGGGCACAGTGGTGGAAGGAACAGAGGAATTTGCAGCTGCAGGGAAAGGGTTAAACCAGATGCCATGGGCCAGGAAGGAGGTTTGTCATCATAAGTGCCATTTACCTGGGTACAAGGTGGAGCACAAGTGCACAATGATCCCTGAGACAAATGTCACAACACGATCGTACAGGTGTAGTCACAGATGTAGAAACCTCATAGTACTGAGCTGGGGGCTGGGAGGGTGTTTGGTAAGGGAGCACAACAAAAGCTGGAAAACACAGAACTGAAAAATTAAACCTGATAGAGATTTACCTTTTTTTATGGCTAATTAACATCAACTCCTTAACAGTCCTTCCAGAAAAGAGGAAAGAAAAAACACCGTGCATTCAGGCAGAGATTTGTGCACAAATTCTGTTTCCTCTCCCACTCTCAGCTTCCTTTATTTTTACCTGTGCCCTACGACAGGGCTGTCACTGTCCCAACAGACATATTCACTTCAAATGAAATCCACTTTATTTATTTCCTCACCCAGCTTACTGAAAAATATGGTGACATCGTTGGCACTTCGATGGGCAGCATGAAGTTTGTGATAGTAAATGGGATGCGGCTGGTTAAGGAAGTGCTTGTAAACCAAGGAGAAAACTTCCTTGAGCGCCCAGAATTGCCTACTGAAATCTTCAGCAAGATAGGTGAGTGATCCCTCAGGACATGCACCTCAGCTGGAAGGTCCAGGTGTTGGCCCTGCAGAGGTCTGAGACAGCTGGGGAGAAGGCAGAGCCCTGGAGCTTTTCCACTCCCTGGGGGATCGGCCTTGTCTCACAGGGGGCTGTTTCTGCCAGGATTGATCAACTCCAGTGGGCACTTGTGGAAGGCACAGAGGAGATTCACCTTGACCACCCTCCGAAACTTTGGCTTGGGGAAGAGGAGCGTGGAGGAGCGCATCCAGGAGGAATGCCGATTCCTCGTGGATGCCATTAAGGATGAGCAGGGTGAGTGCCACGCGCCTCTCTCAGCAGCTGGGCTGAAGGCAGGAACAGGCCTGTTATCATTGCACCCATGGTTCACTGCATGCTGGAAAATAC